GGGCTGCTTTTGTTCAGTGGTATTTTGGGCTACTTTTTGTTTGATTCGCTGTTTTCATCACTTCCGTTCAATGTTGTTTAGGTCTCGGTTGTTGCTGAAACGGTCAATGTTACGGGGCAATCGAATCTGATGCAGTTTAGGGTACCGCCGTGTCGGTTATCAGAGGATATGTCAAATCTTTTCGAAAAACATTGTTTTTCGGATTGCCTCCTCGTAACAGGATCGAAGGAGTTCCATGTAAGCAAGCTTGCTTTAAAATTAGACTTTTGGGTAAAATTTTTTGGGGAATATCATAAGTTGAGGGAAATTTCGACGTACTAGAGGTTTTTAACCCCTCTACCTAGGTTTTTTAACCTTAGTTAACTATAACAATTGTACTTTTAATTTTTCGAATGCGTAAAATGCAAATTTTGGATTAAAAGCAATGTCAGGAAACTTTTTTCTCTCAAAAAGTACAAAAATTCTGAAAAAAAGCCCGAGAAATTTGTCATCATTCATTCGTCAGAAAAATAGCTCTTTAGACGCGGTTATGGAATGTAAACAGAAGGCAGTGACACATCACAATAATTAATAATTAGAAGCGGTGGTTTGAAAGTGACCTGTAGTCTCAAATCTGCTCTTTATTTGCCATCATAGTCCGGTCTGTTTTTCCCCCAATTCGATCGATTCCTCCAGGCCTGCTATGCTTCCTTGCCGGGCATATTTTGCTTCTTTCTTGATCAGGAATCATAGGCGGATCCATGACCCCTTCTTCCCTCCCTGCCTCTTCAGCGGTACAGGTAGCAGTGCTAAAACTGTAGAAAACTCTCCCGTACCCTCTGTTGCCCTCCTGCCTGGCCATCACCGGTAGAAATCATACATCCCTCCTTCCCCCTTTCCGAGGAGATCGTCCCTGGATTCGCCTCTGTCCACAATGATGCGTATTCTAGCCGGATTCACGTAACTTGTCGTTTAAACGGTCTCATAGCAAATTTTAGTGAGAATTTGTAGCGCACTCAGTGAAATGTTTTGCATTTTTGGAATTGTTTCAGGTACACAAAGCAATATTAGCAACGAGGTCGCCGGTGTTTGCCGCATGTTTTGAGCACCAAATGAGTGAGTCGCAGTCGGATCGTGTCGATATTGATGATGTTGAGCCGGAGGTGATGAAGGAGATGCTGCGATTCATGTACACCGGTACGGCGCCCAATCTTGATCGTATGGCCGACACTCTATTGGCAGCTGCTGACAAATACCAGCTTGATAGATTGAAGGTGGATATTGTTTTCTAGTCTCTAGTTTAACGAGTTAGTTGGTGAGTTATGCCGGTTTTTGTGTGAAGCCTTCAATGTTACTGGAATGCACGCGACATTTGCTTCCTGGAACTGTGGTTTTTTTTTTGGGAAAAGGTGGGCGGGGAAGGGGGAGGGAGCTTCGTCACTCCGTATTTCTGAGGTGTGCTTGTTAATCCGGTCTTTTGGTGGGAAGTTATTGGTTGTTTCTTTCTTTTTTCCGTGGAAAGTTTTTTATCCATCAGAATTTAGGGTTTCTTTTAGGGTTTAATTTAGGGTTTTTGCAGGTAATGTGCGAGCAAGCATTGTGTTTAAATTTGACGAATGAGAATGCCTGTGAGACACTGATTCTTGCCGATCTGCACAGTGCCGAGCAGCTGAAACAACAGGCCATTGATTACATTGTATGTTTTTTTTTTTTTCGCATAAAATGAGTGATGAGGATGCAAAATATTGCTCAGAACCATTGGTGGGGGAACAACAGTTGCCTGGTCTATTTTTTTTTTTTGGTAGGAAAGTGCTGTTGATGTTCGAGATGATTCTCAAAAAATCTTTGGAAAAAACGATATTTCCAATGGTTGATAGCAGGGTGGCTCTCATTTGAGATTTTTTTTTTTGAAAGAAAGCACTTCCCCCTTCCTTTCCCACCCTCCCCCTCCCCTCAATTTAGAGCTAAATTTCATTTGCATTATTTTGCAAGCATTTAAGAAAAAAGAACATTTGATAGCATTTGAACATTTGCTAAGAGCTCTTGTAGTTGGAGAAACTTTCTGACATTAGTTGACTTCAGGTTGAGAATTTTGCATTAGGTATATGTGGTGATTTTTCGTGATTATTGAATAATTTCTAGTTTTGCGCAGATGCAAAAACGCATATTTCTATTCTTGAATTTTTTCAACGGTTTGAATTTTGGCGGTTCAAAAAGTTGATGTGAAATTGCACTTGCGCTAGCTTTAGAAGTTTATCCGTTCTCTCAAGTAGTGTTATAATGAAGTACTTATGTCTGGGTTATTTAGGTTAGACGAT